ATTTTCATACAACAAATATTTTAGATAATTAAAAGATTTAAGTATAGACTATATCTTAAACTAAAAGTTTTTGCCACTACATGTTCAAAATAAAATAGTAAATGACCAGCAAAAAATGAATCATTCTTTTTCAGCTTGTACCACGTTATTCGTTGTTATTATAACTGAACAATAAATGTATATCCATATTAGCATTTGCACAAAAATATTGGTTATATATTCAAATTTATTCTTAACAATGTGAATTTATAAGAAATTAAAGTTATCTAGTTTGAACTTTTAAGTTAGATGATCTAGAAAGATGAAGTATGAAAGTTAAGTATTCAGGTTAATTTTTAAGCAAAAAAAAAAAAAATCTTAAAATGTGAATTTATAAACTCTGAGAATTTAACTTATCTAGTTTGAACTTTGAAATTAGAGGATCAAAGAACATAAGTATGAAAGTTAAGTGATTAGCTTAAATGTTACAACAAAATTAAACTAAAGCCAGAAAGAAAATATAAAATTGGTCTTGTTGGGGATTGAACCGATATACCACATCAAAGGCTCAAAGCCACTAAGTCGTTGGGCTACAAGCCACAACAATGGAACTAATTTATTGCATGTTTTGTTATTATATCACTTATAATTTTTACATAATTTTCAAAAAATTCGATACATTTACATGTGATCTTCGAATTCTTGGGAGGCCTGGAAAACGACCTTGAGGTATCCACTATTCTACTTAGCTCAATCACATAATTTTATTCTCTCTCAATTCAACTTTGTACTCAACTTTCATCAACTATAGAAGGTCGAGGCCTTCCTTAATCACACGTGAATTTTTGCAAGAGGAGAGTAGAGAAAGGAAGGTTAGATGATCAGCTTGGATCTAAGTATTCCTCATTTCATCCTCTAATTTTATTGATTTCCATTCCTCACCATGTGATATGAAACTATCCAACATAAAGTTATTAGTAACCAAGTTTTTTCAACAAATTTTATGAAAAACATTTCGGGCATAATTCAGGGATCCACACTTGATGACAATGTCTACCAGTGTGTTCTCTTATATTTTTATCAATTAGAATTCCTCGCATTATGAGGCAACCATGCAGAGTCTTTCATATCTGCAGGCTACAAGCCTGCAACTGATGAACAACAAGAAGGACATTAGTTAGTGAGAGGAATCGGGATCTAACAAAAGTATGTAATTTTCAATACTTAAAGAGAGTCTATTTGTTACTTGATCGAAGTTCTCGGACATCAGGATGACAACAATATTGTCCTGAAAATAAAAATGGAATGTCAACCTAGTTGCAACAAGTTTGTTTGCATAAACCATCACAACGAGTTTCGTATTCTGAAAAAACTACAAAATATATCCATTGTCTACACTCTTAAGAAAGTCTCTTTCAATATATCCCACTAATTTTCCCCCGTTGAATATCCCTCTAAACAATTATTAGCAAATCGATCACTAATTTGATTTCGAACCTTGTTATTAATATAGCTCAAACTAAGAATGCTCTTTCTACACTTATAGTTGCAACTAGTAGGATCAAAGCTACCTTCAGAAGCAAATAAACTAACAGAATTGACACATACACTTTTGTCTCCACCATTACTCAAGATAATTCATCACGCACAAACTGTTGTCGAATAATAATGTTATGAATGAAACCAATAAATTTATTGATTTTAGTTAGTTTTTGTCAATTAATGAACAAGTAATGAGTTGTAGTATAGTGGTAAAATATTTTTATGTTACATGTAAGTGTGGTATTCTTTTTTCTTCCCCAAAACTTACCCCTTAACCCCTATCCTGGGACAAAAGCAAAGGGGGTGCGCTCCGCCTGTGTGTCAACCTATACTACACTTGAATCAAGAAACTGACGATAGGGTATCTTGAGAACACTACTCTTATATATCACATAAGTTGCAGAAATAGAAGCCCATATAACAATTCATAACCAAAAGATTCGGTTATCTTGAAAAAGTGCCATAATACTATTGTTATGGATTGGTCTAGCATATCTGCCTTATCAAGGCTGAAAAATGGGAGTGTCAACTTATATTCAAATTGCATAAAGAATTCATAAGTATCTTGTAACTAGTACTCTAACCATGCAATTTATGTATTGGTTTGCAACAAGAGAAATTCAGAAAGATAATATAAATTTCTCATCTTACACGGGACAACAGAAGTGTGATGATTTCAATAATAGCTTTCTTCACAGGGGTTTTTATGAATATTGCTTCATGGCTTCGATTAGAAGAGGCTCGGTAGTTTAAAGAAGACAAACTCTTATTGCATTGTAAACCTTCTCTCACTACAAGAACTGTCCCAGGAAAGAGACAGAGAACGATGATTTCCACTCCTTTTCTCATAGCTGGTGAAGCAAACCATCCATGTCATAGGCGTGATAAGAGAAATTCAAGGATACAATATTTTGAAATCTCAACGCATAACTATAGTATTAGAGTCATTACGGGTGGAAAGCGTTGTTCTGGTATTAATAACACGCCGCCAACTCAACCGTCACGTCGAAGAAAAGGTAAACAAAAAAAAGAAAAGACTCGATTCACTCGAAAACCAACAAAAAAAGAAAAAGGTAAAAAAAAGTAATCACTCACTTCACTTTGCGCAAGAACGTACGGCGGATATCAGTCGTCTTTCCGGGACCGAAAATGGTCGAACCTCGTGGTGGTATTGGCATCGGCATCGCCCCAGGGAGTCTTTTCCGCCGCCACGGAGGGGCGTTTCTTGATCGGCGCCGGTTTCTTCTCCACGTTGACGTCCATCCTCAAGCCATATTTCCGGGCTTCCTTTTCAATTTCCTCAAAGTCATCGTCCGACATAAAACCCTTATAGACCAGAAGCGCCGCCGGCGGGGCCAAGGAGAATCACTGGCTAGCCCTCATCACCTTCTCCAGATCCTCTGGACAAAAAGTTTTAATTTTTTCCAATATCTCAACGTTAAATGTTTTCCTGCACATAATATTCATATTACTGACACGATTTACATGATCTTTCCAAAACCACAGAAGCTACCCATAGTTTTATATTTGATTTCTCTCTCATTACCAAAGCTAACTACTCTATTTATATTCCATTCATACTATATACCAATGAGCAAAAATATTGGCAACCAAATTCATGTTTAGGTTCTAGTTCATATTCGCATGACACATACAATATAAGGAACACAAAAATCATTGAGATGAGAAACGAGAAGCCAATGAGAGCATGTAAAATGTCTGGATGTAAATGTATTGTTATCATTATTCGATCACTCATAAATTAAGAGGATATAGTCGCACTTCTAGAGATGCATGACAACACAACCAATTTACGAATTCAAACTTCCTTAACTCACAAGGCAATATGAAAAGGACATGCCGAACCATCCTATTACGTACATAATCAATAAAAATAACCGAAGCAGTTGGAAGCGATAGGAAGAAATATATAATTTATTGATGAATTGCTCTTCCCCCTTGCCGCGGTAGCTTCCGGCTCAAGACACTTCTCATTGCGGCATGCAATGCAATTGCTATTGGGCTGAGCGGGTGGAGGAAAAATTTGGACGCTGCCCAGGCCCATCTGCTGTGGAGACTAGACGAGGCTGATAACCAAGGCCATCAATTTATGGTCGCCAATGGTGATATTTTCGGCCACCATTTTCGTACACGGTTGCATTAACCTAAGACGACGGCATATATACGACCACTCATGGCGACCAAAAAGAGTGGTCGCGATACATTTAGACGACCATTTTTCTTGTTTTCGCGACCATATTACATGGTCGCCGAATGGTAATTATCTTGTAGTGCAAGGTCCGGGGGTTTATACTTGTTAGAGTTCAAGCTACGATACCTCTCGGGCATGAGCCTGGGAAGATTAACTACAGTAGACACAATTATAACTCACCCCGATTCCCAATTCTCTTCTATTCCACTCCGGTTACAATTATCGCAGGTGCCCAAGATCGTATTTCTTCCAACCAGCAACCGCAACATCCAACGCCTGATTATCAAGACATTAATAGTTTAATACGAGTCATCATTCATGTCCTCGTGATCACCGACCGAGTCTTCATTGCTATCGCTAATGGAGACTGACCCATATTGAAAACCGATCACGTATGCGCATAAGCACACACACAACTATATGTAATGTACAAAATAGACTCAATCATATATGTAGCTAGCTAGGGAAGATGTAATATTAGTTTGGGGAGATCATGTACAAATCAAAACTGCAGTTCTTTATCTACTCTTTTCGACCCTTGTTTTCCTCTACCCCTCTTCCAAACCAAGATTTTGGTTGGCGACCCTGGATAAACGAGGATGTATCATAAATGAAAGGTTAGGAAACATATAATAGTCAGAGGAAGCTAAATTTAGAAGGAATGAAACAGAGAAGATGAGTTTCCAGAGGTAACCAAAGCATAAACTTGACTAATAACCTGTGCCAAAGCTCAAATTGTTCCGAGTCTAAAAGCTCTCTATCGATATCTTCCCCAGTTTATGGGTTCTTTGCGTTCCTGATACAAAACCTGTCTTCTGAGAATTATACTACTCCAGAAAACATAAACTGATTAACTATGGTGCAAATGAAAGCAAGGGGTGATCTTGGCAGACGAGCAGGTAATTGAGCCCCTTTTTATTTTTGGAAGAGACTAGTCCATGCCGTCGTAGAACATACGGTTCAAAAAACCTTCAGTTGCAAGATGAAACTTGGAAGGAATTGGTTGGAGGAGGAAGCTTGGTGGGAAGAGATTTCTTATGGTTACTGGAACTCCAGAGGAGGGAGGAAGCGGGAGAGAGAGAGGGAATAATACCACATCGGAGCGTAAGACAGTTTAAGAAGGAGAAAGAGGTATAAAAGAAGAGCTGAGTGCTACCGAGCAACATACTTACCTGGACGGGATCTACGGGCGATCTTGAAGGCCTGTGGTCTAGACCAGCGACCTCCATTGCACTTTGCGGAGGGGTGCTGGGCTAAGGTCTCCCCAATGTGGGAGAGCCTACGTCATAATTTGTTGCTGAGGGGGCCTGCGTTCGCGCGGCCCCTGCCCAATTCTCAGTTCAAACACTTTTTGGGTCTGGTTTCTAGGTTCAACGCATTTGGGCCTTGCTTCTAGGCGAATTCAAGATTAAAGCCCAAATGTTAGTTTTGTTATCGGTAATGTATGTGATTAAGGTTTCAACGAGAAGAAGATCGAACACCGAACAAGAGGGTTCGATGCGTCCCAAAAACATTGATTGAGGAGGATTAGTCAGCAGCAGAATGTCTTAAAAAGGTTTTTTTAATTTAAAGTTTTGATGCTTTTTAGATTCATGTTGCCCTTTCTTCAACTTCCAAACTCTGCTGTGAAACACTGAGCTGGTCTCATCACTAGAATGTGCCAATGTGGCCACTTCTAACTCCAAACAATGACTCTCTTTTCTCCATGCCCAGTACCAGTAGTTGTGGGTAGTGGCAATCGATCTCTTGTTTGAATCACTCAGATTAAGATAGATAGATAGCTAGCGCCAAGTGTGAGACAAAACTTTGTGTCCATAGTGTTGTTGCTTATCACATTGGAAGTAATACTTTTTCTTCGGACCATCATCTGATGTCTGTATGCTTGCATTGCAACTGGAGGCCGATCTCTGCAATTTCTACCCTCCTTATCCCCCCATTTGTTTGTCGTTAAATAGTTGGACTGTATCAGAGACAAAAGAATAATATTATCTGGACAATCCAGTAGTGAGTATATAATTAACAGGATGATTCAGGAAGGCCATAGTGAAGATGATGAAACAAACAAAAGGGTGCCAGTGCCACAAGTCTGTCAGTTGCTTTCAGAGCTGATTTTCCTTGTCCATTCTTTGATGAGGACTGAGGATAAGTTGTTTCCCTTTTCCATTCAATACCAGTGTTCACCTCTCCAGGCCAATCGGCCAAACCCCAACATTAGGAGAATGAGCAATGCAACGATTTTCAGTGAACTTTCCTGAAATCAAATCAACCCACTCATCATCACTTGGCTAGTGACTAGAAAGGTGACTTAACACGTACTTGTGGCGAGTTGGAATGAATGGATGATGCAGGGTGAGGGCCAGGGTAAAGGGTCTTGTGGATTGATAACACAGTCGGTAACACATTACATAATCTAGACCATTATCAATTTATAATAAGATTGAGATATCAAGCTAAACAATGTCATACACTTACAATATGCAAATACGGTTCACACATAAATGAACTCTTATCATGATTTAATGAAGAAAACATGAATCATTCTGTTTAATATACCTATGAACATATTCTGTCAACCCATGTTAGGGTAGTTATTGCTGCTGTGGAGAAAGCTGCAACCTCCCCCAATTTAAGCTCAAGCTGGTTGGTAGCAGAAGAAACTGTAAAAGGACGAATAGAAAGGAAAGGGGTCAGGGTCAGAGTAATTGGTGCCCTCATTTTCCCGCCAAGCTAAGCTTCCCTTCTTCTACTTCTGCTCAATTTCTATCAATCCACAACACATTTCCCCAACTGCCCAACAAAGGTCTTGAGACATGCAATCAATTCCCCTTTTTCCCCCCATTCAACCATTTTAGTTTATTTTCTTTGGGGAGGAACTTTTAAGTTAAGAATTGAAGCTGATATCCAAGCTGTGTGAGTTGGTAGCACTTTGGCACCAACTAAGCAAAGCCAGTAGGGCTTGTGTTCTTCTTGGAATGGGATGAAGTGCATTAATACAATACTCACATTCCCATGCTGGCTGGCATGCTTTCTTTTGAAGACTAATAAAAAGTATAGAGAATTTATCAAAAGGGGAATCCCATGTGGGTGTTTGTGGATTGTCACAATCCAAAAAAAAGCTGTTGAATTAGCTAACACTTTTTATTTAGTCTTCTAATAATGTTCTTTCTTGTCCACCAAATTATTGCTTATTGCTAAGTTTTCTTCCAGGGTCCCCCAAATTGATGGGCCTCTAGAACCCTAAATGGAATAGGGAATAGGGACAAACTCATTGTCATTGGGGGCAGTTCTTACTTTCTTTTCCTTCTTGTGTGCATCAATAGGCTTTTTTCTCTTCTCCATAGTATCCTTCATCTGCTGATATTAACAGCAGGACGAGGGTTACAATGATTTTGAGTTCCAAGTGCCTCTTAGTCTGTCTTTTCTCCAAATATCCCTCATCTTTGGTGTAGAAGCTTTGCATTACCGACCAATAAAAAAAGGGTTTTGTAGACTACAATATGAGTCACTATATTCTCTTATCGACCAATAAACCGAACTGATAATCTGAACAATCTCCTTCATCCTCAAAATCGCACTTGCATCTTCCTTGAGCTCCATTTTGACCTCTTCTTGATTACCAAATTCGGACAAAGGCAACTTCTCTCAGACAAACCCTTTAGTTCATGGATAACATGTTGCAAGGCGAGGCGAGTATCTATTAGGTGCATCGGGATTTTATTATTTGGTTAGAGAACAGTGGGCACCCTGTTTTCCACAATACTTTCACACATTAAGAGGTTTGGTAAAATGCGAACCATGTGTACCGCAAACTTAATGTACCCTCATTCTACATATGCAACATTTCAACTTCACATATTTTAAATTAATTATCGCCAATGCGTCAAATAAAGTAAAAGGGTGATAAATCCTTTACGAAAGTCTCAAAGTCATCCAAAACACAAAGTGACATTTGTTATGTAAGAAAACATATAAATAAATAAATAATTAAATTTGACAATCGAAATCAAATTAGAATAAAAAATGGATGTAATAATCTAATTCAATTCAATATAGTTCAATTAAATAATTATCTAGTTATAATAAATTGATTTATTAGTATCTTAATTTTCCTTATTAAGTATATAAAAACATGGAAGCATCGGACATGAGAAGTACAAAAAGCAGTAAATGTAAGGAAATGGATAGCTAACAACCACATGGATGAGATATGATCAACAAGTTGTGTCCCAAAATTAATCTAGTCCTCTACATGTTTAAGAATAAAAAAAGATATGACATAAGTTGTATATACGAAAGTATGTATTATATGTTTTAATAATTTTTTTTTGTTTCCTTACTATTGTCAAGTTTTTTCTATTAATTTCATGGCTAACCATTATAACATTTTGCATTTAAATATTTTTAAAATAATTAATTTAATATACTTCATGAATATTAACGTATTATTTGACGTACCAATAGTTTAGAGATGAAGTAAAATACTCGTACATAACTTATTCGTACTATTTTTTGCTAACTACGTTTATGTAATTTGAGAGAATAATATACTAAATAACATTCAAATGGTGGTTAGATATTGAATTATTAATCTCTTCTTTCAAATCAAAACATAATTCTATTAACATATTGTGATTTGAAAACTTAACTCATTATCGCTTTAAATCTTTACTTCATATGATGAAAAAAGATCCTACGATTACGAATCAGTAAAACAAAACAATCCGCTTAGTATGTTAATATGAAAATTAATATCGTTAAACCAAGCATTTCACAACCTCAGTCCATCAATGTACCTACTAGCTAGAAATTTATTTCTAGAGACATCACTGAATGCTTGCTCTAATCAAGATAATTATTATTTAAGTTAGATGTGAGGATGCCCCATTTTGCTCGTGTTTCAAAATCTCCACACTCTTCAATCTTCTTCCTCTCCTGACTGATTTTGTTTTCTAGCTTTTATCTTTTCCCATCCTCCTTGGCTGTGGTTTCTCCTTTGACCTTTCTATGCAAAATAGTGAAAATACCCATTATTCAACTGTCAAAATTATGGTGATTTTCCCTTAATAATTTTATATAAAAAGACCCTTTGGGACTTGGGAGTGGGTTAATTCCATGAATATTGTTTTTTTTTAATTTACCAGGAATATAGTGGTTTTAAAACTATTTACAAGAATATTGTGTTTTTAGGAAGAAAGTCGGCGACGGCGCCCGAGACTTAGAAATTCAAGTTTTAAACGTTGTTGATAGCGACGGCGCCCCAGTCCCGAGCATTGGCGCCTTCTGAAATTTCAAAAATTTTAAGAGGCGCCAAAGCCCGAGACCGAGGCGCTGTCGCTGTCAAGTTTAATTTTTTTTTACCCCCTTCCTCCCCCCTCCCCCTCTCGCACCACACCAGACCAGACCCATCCCACCTCCCCTCTCCACTCCTCTCTCCATCCCAGCGCCAAGAACAAGCGGCGACGCCGAGAAAAAGGCAGCAGCGCCACAGTCCAAGGCGGCGGCGCGCGGCACAAGGCGAAGTCGCCACCTCTCTAGCGGCGGCGCAATGTCGGACGACGAGCAGGCCCCCGGCGGTGGCAGAGGAAGAGGCCGAGGCCGGCGAGGTCGGCGTGGCGGCGGTGGCGGTGATGGCGGCGGCGGCGAACGTTACCGGAGTGAGTATTGCCGGCGGCGGCCGGCTTCTCGCCGGCGGCGACTTTTTCCGGCGACTTTTTTTTTTTTTTTTGTCTAACATTTTTTTTCTTCAGTTCCTAGGCTTATCGATCCTTGTTCGATGAGACCACCACCTACGACAATCGATACTGCTCCGAATGATCCGGAACTTCTTTGGGGGCATGGTCACCATCGGATTGACGCAGTTTGGGCAAATGAGGTAAGTTTTTTAAATTAAATTATTTCTATAGTTTTTTTTATTAGCGGTATAATAGAAATAGAATAGAATAGAATTAAATTAAATTAAGAATAGAATTAGATTAAATTAAGAATATTATATTAGAATAAGTTTAGTTTAGATATATAAAAATTAAGAATAGAATTAGATTAAATTAAGAATATTATATTGAAGGAATTGAATTAATATAGTTTTGTGCATTAATTAATTATAGGCTGGTGATCGACCATACCACATTCGTCATACGGGCAATTTAGTTCGATACAATCCACTGTACCTGCCGTATCTCGTCGATGCCGGCTTGTCTAGTGTTCTGCCACTAGCCCCTCTTACCGGTGATCCGGGTTTGATTACTGCGCTCGTAGAGCGTTGGAGACCCGAGACATCGACATTTCACATGCCGTTCGGTGAGGTGACGATCACTCTAGAGGACGTTGCGACACTCACTGGATTAGCGATCGACGGTGATGCCGTCATAGTAGACATACCAGACGAGGACTGGTCGG